AATGACCAGTAATGAAGAAGCCATGGGATGACAACATATACCATATTATTATTGGTATAACACTATCTTCTGAACCAATTTTATTCAATAATAATAAGTAAATTGCGGCGAATATGCAGAGCGTTATAAGACCTGAGTTTGCCTTTTGTTCATTCAATACGAATAAAAGATGCAAAACAGTGACCAATAAAAACAGTATCGAAATCACTAAATAATGGCCCAAATTTCTAACTGAATTAATTATATGAATATTTAGGTGAAATGTGTATAGAGTTATGATGAGTGAAACACTCAAATAAATGGCTATTTTGGCTAAAATGAGTTCATTTGATGGCAAATGCTTTTCTAAAATAGCCTTATGTGCCTGAGAAAGTATCAAATGTCCAATAGTGCATGCACAATTCAACACAATTATGTATTTGCATATATAGTTGCATAGGTTAACACTATCTGTCAATTGATTCATATTTAGTAAATAAATAGCAAACGAAACCACAAATACAAGAAATAGTGTGCAAAACATAAAATTATTTAAATTGACTGCAAATAAATTGAGTTCAGAATAATGACAACTCATCTGTTGTTCGTGACATCGACTCTGATCTCTCGATATACGGATTATCAAAACCATTGATACACTCAATAAAACTAATAATTTGGGACTAATTTGTTGTCTAAACAAAGAATATTTGATGAAATTTAAATCAAATAAATATATAATAACCACTGTTTGAAAGGCATAGTAAACAAACGATTCTTCGAAAACAATCAGTTGTTTTGAAAATAATATGAATGTTGTGGACATAAAAATCAATGAATACAATGCTTCCAATGATTTAAAATATTTCATTGTTTCTCTTAAAACAATGTTTAATCGTTTCGATAAAATGATTTTTGTTAAGAATACGGAACCGATTGATACGACAATAGAAGTGACAGCACTTAAAAATAAGATATCATTAAAACTATTCTCGTGAAGAGGAAAGCCAACAACTCTTATAAGATTAGCAGTTATGGCACCCATTATTAAACCGATAAAGATTTTTGAACAAAAGTTTGATAAGTTTTGTTGTGAATGAATCCAATAAATGGATACAATGTTTGTCCCCCCCCGCTCTATGGGATTTAACATGAGATTACAGCTTAAGTCTATGGCTATACTTTAACATGGGTAATGCTAAGACTATGACAAAGGATTAACATTGGTAATGTTAAGTCTATGGGACTAATGCTAAGCCTATGAACAGTGCTAAAAATTTTAAGTCTATGACATAGGGTTAACATGGGTAATGCTGAGTCTATGGACAATGTTAAATGTATGGGACTAATGCTAATCCTATGGACAATGCTAAATCTATGGGATTAATGCTAATTCTATGGGCAATGCTAAATCTATGGGGCTAATGCTAAGTCTATAGACCTAAGCATTTTGCCATAGAAAAAGTCTTCCACATATTACCTTATGTTAAAGTATAGACATAGGATTAGGGTGGGGGAGGGAAAGCGTCGAGATTCTATAAACCACATTCTTCATAAATGAATTGTGATTAACATATGATTATTTATTGAATGGTCTTATATTTGATGCAATGATTATTAAATGGGCTTTTGTTTAATGGGTTGAGTAATGATTGCTTGTATACAGGTATGTAAGATCAGTTGTGCGGGTCCGCAGACATACAAAGAGCATTTGGACGGACAAAGACATAAGAAAAAAGAGGCACAATTGAAGTCAACGACAGTCGCCACCAATAATACCAAAAGACACGGACAACCGGTTGGAGGCGTATCCCTGCGGTGCGAGTTGTGTGACGTGACCTGTACTGGCAATGACGCCTATGCGGCACACATTCGCGGCGCTAAACACCAGAAAGTGGTGAAATTGCACACAAAACTCGGGAAACCCATCCCTTCTACCGATCCGGTGGTCGTCTCACCAAACGTTACCAAATCTACTAAATCTGGTGACACAACAGCGACCGCAGGAACTGCACAATCGACGGTTGCGGCGAAGATCAAAGTGTTGGGAACGCCTCGAATCAATTTCATCGGCGGAGGAAGACTTCATACCACAAATTCTGGTGAAGTGAGAGAAGAGAGCACTACTGACGACACGACTGGTGCGGCTCAAGAGATGCCATCGCAAGCGCAAGAGTTTTCAGAGTCTGGCGACGTAAACATGTGTCAGCTCTCAGATCTGGATAAAAGCGATGCCCAACCCGTCGGTCAGGACTATATCGACGAGATTAAGAGCGACGACCAAAAAGTGGTCAGTTTTCACTGCAAACTATGCGACTGTCGTTTCAATGATCCGAACGCTAAAGAGATGCACTTAAAAGGACGCCGACATAGACTTCAATTCAAGAAGAAAGTGGACCCAAATCTTGTGGTCGAAGTGAAGCCGAGTCTAAAACATCGGAAATTTTCTGAACAAAAAGACAAACGATTTAATAATTATAAGCGAGACGTTCACTACTGGAACGATTGGTATACACCAAACACTGGACGCTATTATGACTCGCGTCCCATTGGACTTCCAATGCCACCCATTCCACCGCCACATATGGGTCCGCCACCACCGCCTGGTTTTGGCAACTCTTTCATTGGCTCTCCAATGCCTCCCTATAGAAGAGCGAGTAATTCAAACTCTTGGGACGACATTCATATATTGCAAAAGCATTCAGAAATTTGCCCAAAAGAGGAAGAATTGGATGAAATCCATCACTTGGTCTCATGTGTCGAAAGAGCTCTGAAACTAGTATCCGATCGAATGGCCGAAGAAGACTCGGCTATTGCTATGAATGACATAATTAAACAAGAATTTGAACAAATGCCTGATCCTAATAAACCATCGAGTGGTACATCTGATGCTTCAGCTAAAGACAAATCTCAAACGGAATCAAATACAAGCGATAATAAATGCGAAGAATCGCAGTTCCGTCTAATGAAAGGTCTGGTACGGGTCGGCCCTCTCGCCAAAGGACTCCTATTAAGTGGCGATAAAGAAGTTGATTTAGTGGTGATTTGCGCTCAAAAGCCTACAAAACCACTTCTTCAACGTATTGTCGATTTACTCCCGTCTCAACTTCAGGTCTGAAACCATTATTTATTACCAATAGTATTGGTATTTTTCAATGAATTAAACACTCCTTATATGACTGATAGATTGTTTCGTCCATCGATTCATTTGATATTGTGATGAAAGCACACGAATCGAGTCTTTCAGTGAACACCATAAATGAGCCGAAGATCACAGCAAACGTTACGCTCACATCTCCTTTAATGAGAGATGAAAATAACAGCGAAGCCGTGGCCACAGCGGGTATGACTTGTTATATAGTTATTAAATATGTAATATTAATCCAATGGAATGGCTCTTCAATTATTTCCATTCAAACATTTCTTCTACTTTATGTGCAAAAACAGATTTATTTACAGATCGACAGATCCTATTCATCACTTTCCCCTCAGCGACCGAAATGTCTTATATTTAACTAATAAACAAATGCTGACAATTGGAAAGAGGGGACAGTGGTGTTGATGGACTGGCATTCAAGTGATGATAGAGTGATGTCCGTTAGTTGACAACTAACTCATTATTCTTGACTCACAGACAGCTCTCAGACCATCTCTATATGTGATGACCGTTTATAATGATATGTTTTTGCTCTTCATTTAGAGATGTTAGAGATGGTTAAAGAGCCGCAACAACTGCTCGATCGCTACAAATGTGTCGAAGCACTGGCAGCTCTTCGACACGCAAAATGGTTTCAGGTTTGGACTTCCTTTTATCACTTTTCAGCCTTTGACCAAACATTGCAATAGTTTTATTAGAATTTTATTATTTTTCATATTATATAATAAGTTTAGTTTTTTCCAAACAATACTTTGTGACAAAAGGCTGGAAAGTTATCTTATGTTAAATGAGGGGCATTTTAACAGTACTTTCATTAACTAATTTTTTGAGAGTAACAACCATTCAATTAAAAGCAATATTTAAATACAATATATATTCAATTGTATTGAAACTAAAAGCCCCTTATTTTGAGAAGAGAGTCGAAAGTTCAAAACTGCGCCGAAATTCTTATTAAACACAAACTGAAACTCAATTTGTTTATTATATTAGACATTAAATGTTTATTTTATGTTTATGTTATGGTTTCATATTTGGCGTGTTTTGGGTCAGCATTAATGGATTTGTATTGTTTATAGGCTAGAGTTGCGAATCTACAGCCCTGTCCTCTAATCATACGGATATTTCGTGATTTATGCAAACGTTTGCCGACGTGGGCTAAACTCAGTCTTTGGGTTTGTGAACATTATATGTTATTATATTGTATTTGCAAAGTCCTCAACACATCTTCACTTCAATACATGTTTAGGCCATTGAATTACTGGCAGAAAAAGTCATATCAAGCGCTGGCGAGCCGTTAGCGCCGGGAGAGGCGTTAAGACATACTTTTGAAGCCATCTCTTCAGGTATTTTATTGCCGGGCGGAACCGGACTCGTGGATCCGTGTGAGAAGGAACCCACCGATGCTTTGGCTGCACTCACACGACAAGAACGGGAAGACATCACATCATCGGCTCAGGTATGCCAACAGCTATGGCTTCAGATATCACATTGTATTTGTTTTCGTTCTTAGCACGCGTTAAGACTCATAGCTTTTCGACAGATCTATAAGATCTTAGGCGTCGATCCGTTGCCTCAGAAACACCGCAAACGAAGACTTGATTCAGAAAATGGATCCGCAGTTGAAGTGGAACTCGAGGCTAAAAAAGATAGAAAAGAGACGACACTCGAGGACAACGGTGTCGAAGAAATGTCAATTAATAATGAAACTTAATTTTTGAAGAATTTGTAAGAAATGCTTCCTCTAATCATACGGATATTTCGTGATTTATGCAAACGTTTGCCGACGTGGGCTAAACTCAGTCTTTGGGTTTGTGAACATTATATGTTATTATATTGTATTTGCAAAGTCCTCAACACATCTTCAATTCAATACATGTTTAGGCCATTGAATTACTGGCAGAAAAAGTCATATCAAGCGCTGGCGAGCCGTTAGCGCCGGGAGAGGCGTTAAGACATACGTTTGAAGCCATCTCTTCAGGTATTCTATTGCCGGGCGGAACCGGACTCGTGGATCCGTGTGAGAAGGAACCCACCGATGCTTTGGCTGCACTCACACGACAGGAACGGGAAGACATCACATCATCGGCTCAGGTATGCCAACAGTTAACACTACGGCTTCAGACATAATATTGTTTTCATTTTTAGCACGCGTTAAGACTCATAGCATTTCGACAGATCTATAAGATCTTAGGCGTCGATCCGTTGCCTCAGAAACACCGCAAACGAAGACTTGATTCTGAAAACGGATCCGCAGTTGAAGTGGAACTCGAGGCTAAAAAAGATAGAAAAGAGACGACACTCGAGGACAACGGTGTCGAAGAAATGTCAATTAATAATGAAACTTAATTTTTGAAGAATTTGTAAGAAATGCTAACAAATGGATGTTTAATACGATTTGTAGCCATCCCTTAGCGTTCACTCTTTGGTTTCCATATTTGATACAAATCTAATGTTTAAACCGTATATTAATTTAAATCTGATTTTCAAACCTATATATCATTGAATAATTTATTCACCTTTTATTGAGTTTTCTATTAAATTATATATTTTGGGTAAAAATCGATTTCTTATTATTTTGAAGATCTAATTTATTTGTAGACAAATTCGTTTATTATTAAATAAACTGTAAAATCGATTCAAACATTAATAAAATTTATTATTTACCACATATTTAATGCATAATCTGTTATGAATGGCATTGTGAGTGATTTGTACGGCATTAGAGTGAGTGGTATGTCGTATATCGAAAGGTTTGACAGTATCTAGTTTTTGAGGTGCTGGTAATGTACGAGATTTGACGGTATTATGGATTGTGAAAGCATTGTCAACGAGTGCTCACTTCGGGGCACTGTTTGTGTTTTGGCGCACGTCTTATGTGAATGACATGTCATTTGTTTACTGTATTTGAGATTTAATTTCCACACAAATTAATAACTGATTTATAATTAGTTTTGATTTGAATTGAGTTTTGAGTGACAAAAGCGGATAACAAATGGATTTCGAGGACCAGTTGGACGAAGAACTGAATGACACGAACATATCATTGGAGCCCAAAGTGGTGTTCAAGACATCGGTTTCCCGGTCTGACCGACACATCACTGAAGACCAGTTGTTTTCATTATACGAGTCTTTGGACATAAACGCGGATCAACTGAACCGAAGATACAGTTCGTGGCGTTTGGATGTGATTCACGTGAGAGGAGTGGAGAACATGAGCTCCGAAGATGTCCTCAAATACTTTGAAGCGTTTGATCCCAACTCTATTGAATGGGTTAACGATCTCTCGTGTAATGTTGTCTTCAGTGACCCGAAGGCCAGCGCTATTGCCATCACTTCATTGACCACTTCATTGGTTCTCAAGACTCACGAAAAGCATTTGACTCTGGATTCGGATCTGGAGGTGAGTGTGACGGACGCCCTCTCCCTCTCAGTTCCCGTTCCGCCGGGATTTCGGTGGAGATTAGGTGTGAATCACCACAAGTCTAAAGCACTTCTCTTGAGATTCGCCACCACTTCTGATAAAAAGACTAAAGAATCGGAAGACGTGAACGAGTATTATGTGAAAGATAACAACACTTCCGACAACAGGAGTACTGTTTGGTCGAATCGCAAGAAGAGACCCATTGTTAGCGATGAGGCCGAAGAACAGATACCAGACTCTGAACTCGAATGGAAGTCCAAACGCTTCCGAATGAGAGCCGATGACGAACAAGAGCTGATGCGGAGCCGACTTTCACAGCAAAATATGACGACCAAAGGACTGCTCACATCGAGGATTAGTATCGGTACTCGTGATCGACAACCCATTCGCGATCGGAAGTCCATTTGGGAGCGATTGGACGGCCAGTCGTCTGACAGTATCGTTGACACAGAAATACCAGAAATGCCGAAAACGTTTGGCAGTAAAAACCGAAACATTTGGAGAGAGAGGTCTTTGCGTTCAACCATTTCTGTGGTTAAGCCGACCGACAGAAGTGTCTTCTTAGGCAAAAACGACTTGAGATCCAAAATCATACCAAACAGAAAATCTCATTGAAAAGCATTACACATGAATGAGTGATCGCATAGTCTTTTGTACAATTAATGTCTGTATTAAACAATTTGTTTGCAATCACTCCTTCACATCACTTTAAACTACTTTTTAAATGAAAATGTATTAAAGATTATTACAATTTTACATTAATTTCACACATTTTGTAAACAATTTGTTGATAAT